GCCTTTCATGCAGCAATTTGAGTGCCATCCAAAGTATAGCGGAGCTAGCTGATGCTAAACAATTAGCTTTCATTTCACTTCCCTCACTAATTGTGCAGTAACTGAGGATAATTTTCCCCCTCGTGAGGCTTGTGGCTGGGGCATGATGAGGGGAACTGCCTGCATCAAGGAATGCATCGTGACTTGATAATAGTAGCTGCCATTTAGTGAGCCTCTACTGGGTGCTCGGTATTAAGGCTTTTTACCTGAATTATCTCAACTTATTATCTGATCCTGGGCTAAGGCAGCTAGAACATGTGAGGTATTATTTTTTTGTGCGTGGGTTTTGTTTTTGTTTTTGTTTTTTTAATACATCTTTATTGATTTCAGAGAGAGAGGAAGGGAGAGGGAGAGAGAGAAACATCAATGATGAGAGTCATTGATCGGCTGCCTCCTGCACGCCCCCACTGGGGATCGAGCCCACAACCCGGGCATGTGCCCTGACCGGGAATCAAACCTCGATCCCCTGGATCCTAGGTCGATGCTCAGCCGCTGAGCCATGCCTGGCCAGGCCATGAGGTCTTCTTGACACTGCTGTGCACACTCACGAGGAGGCAACTTGGCGGGTGGGGGGGATTTGGTTTCCCACCTCTGTCCTTTGCCCACATTGGGGGAGGGGTTAGAAAGAACAGCGAGCTGAGGTAAAGGCTTGAGCAGACACCCAAAGCACAGGAGGGCTGAGGGCAAGAGAGGAGAATCAGACCCGACCACCTGGGCCGGAGTTCCTGACACACTCAACACACAGGGAATACCTGGCTGCTTAGGATCTGTCTCAGCATCTGTTCAACTTAATATTGTCTAGGCGCTGGCCTCGGTACTGGAGATAGAAATGATGAAAGCAATCTTGGCTTTTGAGGAGAGTTCAGTCTGGATGTTCTTCTGGGAATACTGCTGTTCTGCTGTGACCCTTTTAGGGAAGGATCGGGGTGAGGGAGAGGGTCTTAAGTAGGTACATGAGCTGCCCTGTGCTGCATAATTGCTCTTGTGGTTGAAGTTTTATGGGTGATTTTTACCAAATCGAAATAAATTCATTAGGAACAAAGGTTATTCTTCATCTTAAAAGCACCAAATGGAAAAAGCCTCCTTATGAAGACCAAGGCCATATTTCAGAAACCCCCAAGCCCTAAGGTCCCCTAAGCCTAGAGTCCTGGCGGCTGGGATTAGGGACACCCCAGGAGAATGTTATCTCCTGTGATGATGTAACCCAGGTGTCCAGGTGTCTTTCATGCTCTATATTACTGTATTGACTATATTACTTTTCCTTCAAGTGTCTTTCATTTTTACTGTCAATAATTATAAGTGCCAGTCTGGGACAGGCCTGGTTTATATCCATTGTCTGATATAATTAATAATAGTGCCCTTTTTTTTTCACTCCCCAAAGTATCCTGGTTTGGATGATGAATTATATGGTCATCCTGCCAATTCCTAAAGTAGAGCCAGCACTGTGCCAAGCACTGCCTGGGACACAGAAGGTCTAACATGTGATTCTTGCCCTCAAAGAGATGGTTGGGAAGAGAAGATGTGTGTGTGAAACAAAGTCTATACTATATCAAGTGCCAAAATAGATGGCATCAGATCATAGGGGTTGGAAGATTAGGAGACCTCTGAATACTTGTGTTATCAGGAAGTATATGTGTCCACATTCTTTGCAGACAGTGGAGAACAGTTCAGTTAGTTTAAACAGGAAGGACTTTAAAAAGGGATACTAGATAGTTCACAGAATTGTTAGAAGGGCTGGGAAGTAGACTCTGCTGAGTTTTTCAGAAAAACACACACCCAGAAACACCCAGCAAGGCAGAGGTCCCACGCCCTGCCTGCTTCCTCATGGAGCTTTACTTCATAATCAGTCTCACATGTGCTGCATCTGAACGTGGAATCTGGGTCTCAAGTCTGCATCCTTGGGGACAAAGCAGGATGGGAAATGTTCCTTGGAATCTATATTAGTAAGGTATTTACAATGTGGAGAACTGTCAATCTGGAGGGAGTATTCAGTTTCTACTACAGAGGGTTTTATGGATGTGGTGAGATTAGAACTGGACTTTGAGGGTAATCACGCAAATAAGAAGGAAATTTTTCTCAATAAGAAATTTATTTTTCTCATAGTGACGTAATGCACAGGAATAAATCTGGATTTATTTGGACATCCATAAACACATGTGGCGGTGGGAAGGCGGTGGAAAATCATGTTCTCTAAAGAGTGGAGCCTCTGGATTTTAAAGTCAAATAGAAAACTTATAGCTAACACTTTAGACAATAAATCACATGTATTAGTCCAGGATGAGTTAGGCTGTCCTGCAATAACCAATTAAGTCTGAAATCTCAGGTAATATAACAAAGGTTTATTTTCTGCTCATACTGCAGCTCATCTGTAGTATTGGGTGGGCAGTTTGGAATCAGGGTTGTCTGTTCCACACAGTCAGTCACTCAGGGACCCAGCAAGAAGAGAATTGCTGAAGAGTCAGGCTTTTCACCGCCCGAGCATGGAAATGGCATATGGTATTTCTTTTCACAACCATTGGCCAGAATTATTCACATGGCCCCACCTAATTTCAATGGTGAATACTAGAAGTTTCTACCATGCATGTTGGAAAGTTTTTGAAACCGAGTGTAACATTGAAGAAAAGCTCACAAGAGCAGGGCTACCTGTCTGTTTGTTTCACCACCAGCTCCGGGCCCTGGCCCAGTGCCTGGCTCAGAGTTGGTGCTCAGTACATATTTGTTGAATGAACTTGGCTTTCAGTGGCATGCAGGGTCGATTTGATGGTTTCTCAATCAGAGGCTTGGAAGTTGAGAATACATAAATAGGTTAAAAATCTTCTGTTACTTCAACTTAGGAAATTAATATATTTTTCAAGGGCTAAAAATGTCATAGTCAAGCCATTCAACCTGCTCTTTGAAGTCATTTGACATTTCGATAGGCAGATTGCAAAAGCCCCTTTTTAAACTGATAGTAATCTTGCAAATTTAAATTCTTTTCATGGGAACTGTAAGGATGTGTACTTTAAAGCTGGGCATGCTTCTAACCATAAATTTTAGTTTTCTTTCCTTTTACTTTCTAGCGATGAAAGTGATAGTTTGTTTATCCTGTCATACTCAGGGTACTGACTTTGAGTTGTGCCTAAAATAATAGAACCATGAATATTTTTGTTTTCTAACATAATTTTAATGTTTTAAATTTAAAGGGCTTTGGAGAAACAAATTTTCTCCTGTCCCTCCGTCTCCCCAATGCAAGTCTACAAAATTACTGAGAAACATAAATATTCAAGCCATATGTCAAGCTGACAGTTATCTGGTAGGAAGTCAACCTATAAAAACAGGATGCAGTGCCTTTCGCATTTGCCACCACTTGAGAGAAATCCAGCGACCAGAAAAGCAAAGAACTATTGCAGGTATATTTTATCACCAGCAGCCTTTTCCTTCTAGAGACCCCTGGCTCCTAGGACTTCTTTCTTACAAACACCCATTTCAAAAGAATCAAGCATCCCCTTAAGCTCCTGAGCTTAAGGGTCACACTGTGTGGATTTAGAATGTTGGCTCTATCCCTTACTAACTATGATCGTTCTCTAGGTATGCTTCCTGTTTTATAAATTAGGGGCAATAGAATCTATTTGACAGGGTGATTTTGACAATGAAGTGAGATGAAGCATGGGAAGCATTCAGAGCAGTACCGGGCATACAGGAAGTGATGAATATGAGGTGTGAAACTGGTGAGATTTATCGAGGTCTTGTTAACCAAGATACTAGTGATATCACATCTATGGGTACGGGTTGTGTTTTGCCCAAATCACATATATAACATGAGAAGAGGACTTGGTAACTGGTCTTTCCAAGCACATATATAACCAGCAACAGCATTTGTGAAGTATAGTTGCCTAAAGTAAATACTTTGTGATTGTGATTAAGTTGCCCTTTTTAATTGACTTTGAGCTGCTCTTTCTTTTCTGTTACCCTTTAGATGAGGCCAGTTCCTCTAAACAACCAGAGAGCATCTATGGTGCATGCTGGCATTATTTGCTATGGATCTTTTTCTTTTAAATATTTCTGAGGGAGGTGACTTTTTGTTCTCTGTACTATATTATCTGAAAATAAACACAAGCAATCTGCCTACTCAGCCTCCCTGTTCCTACCCTCTGTGTAGATCACATCATGTCCCCCTTCTGCTCACACCTATCTAGGATTCCATATGACCCAGCATATATGTACCCAAAAATTGAAAGCAGGCACTCAAACAGATACTTAAATACCAGTGTTCATAGCAGCATTATTCACAGTCATCAAAAGGCAGAAACAACCCAGTGGGATATATACATACAGTAGAATCTTACTCGTCCATAATAAGAAATGAAGTTCTGATACATGTTCAACCACATGGGTGAACCTTGAAAGCATCATGCTTAGCAAAATAAGCCAGACACAGAAAGACTAATATGATTTCGCTTACATGAAAGATCTAGAATAGGCAAATTCATAGAAATAGAAAGTATATTAGAGGTTGTCAGGGGCTAAGGGTGGAGATGAAGACTTATTCCTTAATGGGTACAGAGTTTCTGTTTGGAGTGATGAAAAAGTCTTAGGAATCGACGGTGATGAAGGCTGCACAACATGAGGATTGTAATCAATGCTGAATTGTGCACTTAAAAATGATTGAAATGGTAAATTTTATGTTATATATGTCTTAACAGTAAAAAATAAAACATTTAGGGTTTTCCAACCATGCTCAAAGTGGAAGCCAGTGTCCCTGAAACGGCCTACAAGGCCTGGTGCCTTGGCCCCCCATCGCTTCATTGACCGTTCCACCCCTCGAACACTCTGGACCAGCTACACTGGCCTTCGTGCTGCTCCTTGAATTTAACACATCAGGTGCCCTCCCTCAGGAGGCCCTTTGCACTTGCTAGTCCCCCTACTTAGAATGTGCTTCTCTTAGATGCCCGTATGACGTGTCTTTTATCTCCTTCGTTCAGGTTTCTGCTGAAAGACCACTTATCAGTGAGAGCTTCCTGAGTAGCCCTCTGTAAAGTGCCCCCATCATCTGTCAGGGCCTAATACCCCCTGTCTGTTCTCTACTCTTCTCCGTGATTCACCTCATCATCAGACGCACCAAATATTTATGTTTCTTTGATTCCAGTTACTAAAATGGAAGCCCCATCCATGAGCGCTGGTACGTTGTGCTTCATTAAGCTCATTGTCCTTAATGTCTAGAACAGTGCCTGGCAGGGAGCAAGTGTTTAATAAATGTCTGTTGAGTGAATGTGTTTGTGCTGGAGATACATGTACGTCCCTTACTGTAAAGGAGTGCAGGACCAACCGTCTGCTCAGTCTCGATTATCAGTTAGCTGTACTGTAAGTGCCTCATGACAGACAACCACAAAACCTGAGTGAGTTCAGCTAATCTCGACCAGGCTCACTCATGTATCTACAGTCAGCTGTAGGGTGGCTGGGCAGCTCTTCTAGTCTCTGTGGGCTTGCTGACATGTCCGCTAGTTCAGCTGGCAGATCTAGAGGGCTCAGCTGGGACTCCTTGGGTGAGTCTGCTCTGCTCCATGGGTCTCATCCTGTAACAGGCTAGCCTGGGCATGTTCCCATGGTGAAGGCAGAGGAAGAACAGCATGCAGAAATGCGCAGTTTCAAGCCACAGCACGCATTGTGTTTGGTAACATGCCACTGGCCAAAGTCAGTCACATGGTCGAGCCCAGGGAGAGCATTACATAGCTGTGTGATAGAAGGCACAGATACAGGAGGTATGGGAGCTGGGACCATTAATGTGTTCATTCTGCCACACCCTCTGAAATCCCGGCTTTTTTGCTTGTGGGTTGCACATCTCTCCACCCTCTTTCTGTAGCCCCACAGGAATTCACATTCTGCTTCAGCCTTAGATCCAGTCACTCCAGCTCTACAACTCAATATCTTGCTTTTAGATATAGAGTTGTAGAACTGGAAGATTTGGATCTAGTTTAAAAAACAAACAAAAACACTAATTTTTCACATAAAGAATCCAAAATGTAAAAGTTAGTCGAAGTTAGGGGATTTTCTCATGATCCTCTATTGGGAAACTTTAAGTACTCTAGAGTATGGTGGTGTTCTCTGAAGTGTCTGTACCCAACAGCTCAACTCAACATTATCACCCTTGGGGACTGTGGTAGGCAGAAAAACAGCCCCCAACATGTCCACGTCCTAATCCCAAGAACCTGTGAATATGCTAGGTTACTTGGTGGGACCCAGGGATTAAGCTGTATGTGGAATTAAATTTGTTAATCAGTTGACCTTAAAATAAGGAGATTATCCTGAATTATCCAGGTAGGCCCAGTGTAATCAATACAGTCCTTAAAAGTAAAAGGGCAGCAGGAGAATCCAAGGTCAGAGTGAAGAGAATTCTGACTTTGGACGATGGAAGGGGGTCAGGAGCCAAGGAGTGCAAGCTGGAAAAGGCAAGGAAGTGGAGTCTCCGCTAGAGCCTCCAGAAGGAAGACAGCACTACATTTCATTGTAGTCCAGAGAGATTCATTTAAGACTGCTGAGCCCCAGAATTGAAAGATGATATGTTTGTGTTGTTTTAAGCCACTCAGTTTATGGTAATTTCTTACAGCCGCCTTAGGAAATGAATACAGGGACTGATCTTATCCCATAGAACCCAAGTGAAAAATGAGAAGATGTGTTATTGGCAACTGAGTGGCCCTTTAGGTCCCATCTGTTTTCCACTTTGGCCAGTAATTTTTTAAAAGGTGGAAGGGAACACCTTAGGAACTGGGAGATGAAAAAGGAGGTGTGTTAAAGGAGAATAGGTAGGTTAGTTACTGAGACCCATCTTAAAAAAGAAAGTTAGTTGGCCTGGCCGGCGTGGCTCAGCGGTTGAGCATCAACCTATGATCCAGGAGATTGTGGTCCCATTCCCGGTCAGGGCACATGCCCGGGTAGTGGGCCCCATCCCTAGGCAGCTGATCAGTGACTCTCTCATCATTGATGTTTCTATCTCGCTCCTCCCTCTCCCTTCCTCTCTCTCTGAAATCAATAAAGATATGTTTTTTTAAAAAAGAAAATAAAAGGAAGCAGTTGTTAGGGAGATAGCTTGGAGAGTTAATGTTCTCAGGATGTCTTGGCCCTACAGCTTGACCCCACATCCCCGGGGCTACTTATTCTACATTTGACAACCCACTCTAAGCCCTGCTAAATCAGCCATGGTGGGGACTTGAGACTGACCTGCGCTTGCAATGATTTCTGTAGTCTGGGTGATACCCCCAAGAGTGGGACTGCGGGCTGTCAGGTGTGCATTACTAGATAATGCCCCACTCTTTCCCCAGGGGGTTATGTTAGTTCAGTTAGACCACCACCCGCAGCAGTGTTGAAGTGGTCTGGTGCCTCTGTTTCTCATCCACATTTGAGATTGGTAGGCCTCTTACCTTTTGCCAACCTGGTGTATGTGAATTGGTATCTCACTGTGTTTTTAACTTGTTTTTTTCTAGTTATGAATAAGGCTGGGCACATTTTAATACATTTTTAAAATATATTTATTCATATTTCCTCATCAATAAAGAGTCTGTATAAGTCTTTTGCTTATTTTCTTCTATTGAATTGATACCATCTTACTGATTTTTAGGATTTCTTTATATAAAGTCAGCTATATGTGAAGCAGGTTTCTTCTCCCAGTTCATGGATTGTATTTCTACTTCTTTTTGGTGCCCACAGAACTGTGTGTATTTTTGTGATTTAAGAACTATTTTCCTACCCCTGTGGATTAGAAAGGTTTTCTGCTCATATTGTCTTCTAAATTTTTCTAGTTTTTCCTTTGCTAATTAAGTAATCAATCTACCTGTAATTGATTTTTAAACATGGTAGGTAGGGGCTAAATTTCATTGTTTTATATGTGTATAATCAATTGTTCCAGAAAATTTTACTGAAAGTCTCTCTTTCCTTGGTCGACAGTGCCTCTGTTATAAATAATGTGTCAGCTTATATGTGAATCAGTTTCTAGCCCTCTGCCTGGAATCTTTTTGTGTTAGTTATCTCTTGCTGTAAAACAAATTACCTCAAAATTTAGCAGTTTAAAACAACAAACATTTATTATCCGAGAGCTTCAGTGGGTCAGAAATCTAGGTGTAGTTTAGTGGGGTGCCTCCTGCACAGCACCTGTCCTGAGGCTGCAGTCAGGGTCCCAGCCAGGAGTGCTGTCTCAGCTGAAAGCTCAGCTGGGGAAGGGCACGCTTCTGAGTTCACTTGTGGGTTGATGCCAGGATTCTTCCTCTCATGCGCTGTTAAACCGAGACCTTGGTCCTTTGTTGGCAAGTGTCTTCTCCCAAGAGAGAGGACACTTTGCTGTCTCCTTCAGCAACTTCTCATGGGGGCTCTGCATAGGGCAGCTCACACTTGGCAGCTGGCTTCCCACACAGCAAGCAAGCAGAGTGAGGAAGAGGGAAGCCACAGTTTTTGTAACCTAATTTCAGGAGTGACATCCCATCACTTATGTTAAGTGTTAATTAGAAGCATGTCAGTAAGTTTAGCCCATAGTCAAGGGAAAGGTATTACACAAGGACGTGACTATCAGGAGGCAGGGATCATTGGGGGCCGTCTTGGAGACTGCCTGCCACACTTTTATAGTCATATAAATTATTAAGTTTCTTAATATTAATCTTCTAGGTATTTTAAGTGCCTTTTGAAAGGATTATTATTTTTACTTTTTAAAAAACTGTCTATAGTCAAATTAAAAATAGAAAGGGAGAACAGGCATGACTTGAAATGGATTTTTGGAAGTACTATGTGGAATGGAACTTTGGAAGTGATAGGAAAAAAGGTAGAGAGATGTGAACTTTCTTCAGGTGACTGAGTTCAGTGTAATTACAGTATGTACCATGTAATTTTTCTTATCTGGTTTATTTCCGTTTTCCAAACTGAGTAATTATGATGGTGATCTGTAGGAAACATTTTACATATTAACTCATCATGAGACCCTCTGAGACAGAACAAAGCACCTGCCATCTCCTTTATTCATTTAATGCAGTTCATGGAGCTCAATGATGCTAAAACCGTATCTCCGGTGTCATTGAAAATGATACTTAGAACAGGATGAGAGGGCTGCATTGTAGTAGCTGTTAACATTGTGGCTTCTTTTTCATTTAAAGCACAAACATCTGCCAACACACACTCATCATTGCCTAGTTGAAAGAAATTCTTAGGAGTAATTATTTTGAGTTGAATTGATTACTTAAAGATTAACTTTAATACACTCAACTGTTATGTTCCTCAACATCCTAGTTCACAGCTTCCTGTGTACACGCCATGGGATGGGGATGGCTTCAGTTGTGGTTTAAGAGATTACTGAAAGGACTTCATCATCAGAGGAGCATCTTGACCCAGTTTATTTTTCTTTCTTCCTTCAGTTTTGTCACACCTGTGGAGTAGCTTTAGTTTGTACTAGTGCTTATATCCAGCCAATAATTTGAAATAGATGAGTTCAGATTTCTGCCACTATTATGAACACTGTGACCACAGACGTTATATTCTAAGTGAGCCTCCTGGTTCCTTCTTTATTTCAAGCGTGTGTGTGTGTGTGTGTGTCTGTGTCTGTCTGCCTGTCTGTCTGTCTGTACTTGTCTGTACATTTATGGCTGATATTTAGTTAGCAGAAGAGAGACCTACTTAAGTTCTAGAGTAATTTTCTTAAGCATGGCTAGTAAGAAAGCCTTCTCTTTTTGAGAAAAATAATTTAATAACAATAAAGAAATAAAAATAAATATATCTCCAGATAAGATGCCAGACCTCTTATAACATACCTTTTGGCAAAGCTTGCAACCTCTCATTTTTTGTAGAACTAGACAGGTTATGTATAAACAAATGACAGTGCAGTACTATTGGCAGAGGTTTTTATACTGTGCTATTAATTCTAAACATTCTTCCGCCTGCTCTACCACGTCTCCCTTATTTTGGTCAGTGTAACAAGTCAAAAATTAGGAATGTGTAAGCTCACATGAATGCCCATTGGTGCTAAGTTAAAGGTTAAAAAGTTTAAAGAAGATGCGGGTGTTCAGATAGAATCCCGAAACTCGAGGGTTGGAAAGGCATTACCAGCTCTGAACGGCCACCTTGCTTCACTCCTTGCTCTCAGGGACCCATCCAGCAGTTTGCATTAGGGATGCTTATCTTAGGAGGTTCTTGCTTACATTTATAGTTTGCACAGTAAAGTGCAATTATGGTCAAGATAGCTTTCTTATCAGAAAGCTATCTTGACCATAATTGCATTCAAAGTAAACTTCAAAATCAGGAGATTTTTGAGGTTCTTTTCTGATAATATACTACACCTCATAATGTATATTTTAAGAAAATTTCCTTACGTTGATCACATATTTGGGTTTGATAGATTTTCTGCATAGGCCATATGTTCAGGCTTTGTTAAAAATAAAGATTTTAAACTCTAATTAATCTTCAGCTATGAGCTATCAAACTATTTTTTCTTTATCCCTATTAGCATCCACTTCAAGCTCTAACAGTGCCTCCAAGCCATGAGAAAAATTTACACACGAGAAATATTTTGAATCCATTAAAAGAAGTTGGGAGCTGAGTTGTTTTCATCTCTCTTGAGTCGGATGAAGTGA